TGAAGTGGTTTTACTCTTTCCCATGGGGTCACTGCATGCCAACCAGCTCCCCGCGTTTACTGCTGGCAGAGAGGAAGGTGACTGACTTTTGTAGACAGGTGTACCATGTGTTGGTGGCAGGTCTCTTTATTGTACTTTGTAGATGTGACCTTTTTACAAATGGAAGGTTTGTGGTCACCCTGCAATGAGCAAATCTATCAGCACCATCAGCAAGCACGCGCTTGCTTCGTGTCTCTCCTCGTTTTGGTCGTTTGCACAATATTCCAGACTTTTTCATGTTACACACTTCACAGATGACGGTCTAGGGCCAATGTTTCTCTTGAGTGCACTTTCTCAAGATTCTTGCCTTAGCAATGGTCTGGGACCAAACCTACGGCTTCATCTTGTCCCTATAGCCTGGCTGCGATCTCTGACTGGCTCCAGGAGGTTTTTTGTTTTGTTTCGTTGATCCTTTGAGATAATCTTCATGGATGGTCAGGTAAGTAATGGACAAAGATAGCTTTGTTTCTTCCTCCCCAATCTCTGTGCCTTACTTTTGTCTAATTGTGTCCACTGGGACTCCCAGGACAGTGTTGGACAGGGCTGATGACAGGGGTCATTCTTGTCTTGCTTTTGCTCTTGGGGGAAAGCAGTGTATTTCTCACCCTTAAGTGTGATGTTAGCTGTGGGGTTTTTGTACGTACTCTGTATCAGCTTGGAAGAAAAATCCCTGTTTCTAGGTTGCTGAGTGGTTTTCTCATGAGTGGGTGCTGGCGTGTTTCTGCACCTGTGGTGGTCCTGTGTTTTGCTTCCTGAAACCAGAACCCCAAGCCTGTTTCCATCAAGTCAGCTCTGCTCGGGCAACCCCGTGTGCTACAGAATGGAATCGAGGCCGTAGGGCTTTCTTGGCTGCATCTTTTTGGAGGCAGGTTGCCAGCCCTTTCTTCCACTGATCCTGATCGCTGGGTTGGAACTGCCAACCCTCTGGTTAGTGATGGTGGTAGAGTGCCTCGAGGAGTCTGTTCCGACTCATAGAAGCCCTGTGTAGGGTTTCTGAGGCTGTAATTCTCCATGGGAGCAGAAAGCCTCATCTTTCTCCTGAGGAGCGACTGGTAGATTTCAGCTGCTGCCCTGGAGGTTAGGAGCCCAGCTCCCAATCCACTATGATACCTGGGCTTTAAATTCAGATTGTTTGCACCACCCAGGGGCTGTCTCTCTCTCTCTCTCTCTCACACACACCTTTACGTACCTGCATGTTCACTCTCAAGCAGGCAAAAGCAGAATGGTGAACTTGACGTTTGTTCAATAATCACTGTGTGTGCTCTCTGGAAAATTCTAGAACATCCTCTGGGGGACTCGGTGGGGGTAAATGAAGGTGTCTGTACTGGTTGTGCTAAGCCAGGTGTGCCAGGCAGAGTTGGCACCATAGGCGGAAGGGTCTAGAAGCATGGCTCAAGGCTGTGATTTGTATTTCATTTTCTTTTTTTAAAAAGATGAATTTAGTAGTACAATCGTAATTTAAAAAAATACTTTGTTGTGGCTTGGATGACAGTTTACAGAGCGAATTTGCTTCTCCACGGTTGGTCTACAATCTGTTTCATGGCATTGGCTTGCAGTCTTCTCAGCGCCGCTGCGTGGCAGTCTGCCCACTTCCTCTCTGGAGGCCCGTTTCTCTCCTGTCTGCTGAGCTTTGTTTTGGGGAAAATGTTGCCCTTTATTCTCATTCCCTTGATTGGTTCCAGGGGCTCCTCACAGGTTGGTGTCTTCGCTCAGCTCTGAAAGGTGATCCCCGGGGTGGGCTCATTCTTGGGGATTCCTCCGGTCGTTTTATCAGACCAGTGTCTGCTCTTTTTTGTGATGTTTTCATTTTGTTCACATTTTCTTCTTTCTCTGTCCAGGACTCTCTATGGAGATTTCTGTCAGAATGGACATTAGGGGTCTCGGGTGGTGGACACTGAGTTCCAGTGGTCCATTAGTCCTCTGGACTCATTTTTCCTTGAGTCCCTCTCGTTTTCTTCGCTTTGTTTTGCTCCTGATACAGCAAGAATAATAGTTATTATCTCAGCTGTCCACTCATGTATCTCGTTTCTCGGAGTCATGTTCTGTTCAGAGATCCTGTGCTGTAAAATGCACATGAAATGAGACTCAGTTCTGACTTCAGGAGACTTTAAATTTGCTTTTGTTGGTTGGCACATCAGCACATACCCTAAGGGGGTGATTAAGAAGGGGCAATGGTTGGGTCAACACTGGGCTGAAAGGGGTCAGGAGGGTGTGTTCCTGGAGGTGGGGGAGTCAGATTCTCGGTGCTTTGGAGCCAGTCCTCCAGGCTAGTGCAAATGTCCATCACCCTGAGTGAAAAGACCCTGGGTCCAGCCATGGAATGGACAGTTGCATGTATTCACTTTGAAGCCCCAGCTGTATACCAGGTATGGTGTTACCCAGCATCCTTCAGCAAAGTTTACGTGGAAATGTGGACTTTGCTTTTGATTCATACCATAGTAGAAGATCCATGTGCATGTCTCTGAGGGGTGAGCAAGGACAGGCAGGACTTACAGGTCAAAGGACAAGGAGCAGGAAAGCAGCAGCGCCCCCTCAAGAGACCACCTCATGGTCCGGAACCCAATGATCACTGCTCTCTGAGGAGCTGTTTCCAGCCACGCCCCCATCTCTTGTTTTCCCATTTCTAGATCTACAAATCGTCAAAATGCAACGACATGCGCCAAACCGGCTCCTGTCCCCGGGGCCCCTTCTGTGCCTTCGCACATGTTGAAAGTAAGTCTGTGGTACTGGCCGGGACCCTTGCTTGCTGCCATCTGTATACTGAGTAGACCTAGTTTTTTAGGACCAGGGAGCAAAGGGGAGGGGAGTTGAGACTTCTGTTTGAGTAGTTGGAGAGGGAGCCATCTCTGGCCACGTGGAGCCCCCAGGAGTCCTGGGTTCTGCGGCTAGGCTCTGGCTGGACCGTGGGGACCACTACCTGCACAGCCACCTCCCTGCCTCCTGGGTGGACGGCCCTGTCCACCTCTGAGAGGGACAGGGACAGTGATGGGTTTTTCTCATTTCCCGTGTTCATCTGTTACTGTGACACGGGGCTGTTGGCGGTGTTACCACACTGCATACACCAACTCAATAATAAGGGGCTGGTTTTGATGACCAAATACTGGGTCCTACCAACTTCCAGAGGGGAATGCACCTGCTCCCCCCTCTCGCCCAGACTCAGGCATCGGTGGGAAAAGCACACAGGTGCCCCTTCCCCCACTGAACGACTCTGAGTTTGAGCTTCAGCATTGGTGAGGATAATGGCAAATTCAAACACATTTATTTCTGTTGTTGAGACTGCACAGCAAAACATAAAGCCGCTCTGCAGCGGTGACATTCTTCAAGTCTGTAAGCATGTCCCCCACCTTTTCCCAGTTGCTCCTCCCTTAAGATGACCTCACTGACCCCTAAGGTTCGCATCAGCTTTCAAGTTGCTGTTGTCAAATTCACCCCGTCCGAAGTGGTTGTTGTTGTTGTTAAGTGCCGTGGAGTTGGTACCGACCCATAACGACCCTGTACAGGGTTTCCGAGGCTGTGAATCTTCACGGGAGCAGAAAGCCTCATCTTTCTCCTGCGGAGCAGCTGGTAGTTTCGAACTGCTGACCTTGCAGTTCACAGCCTGATTCGTAACCACTACGCTACCAGAGCCCCTTCTCTGAAGAGTTAGATGGGATTGAATTGCTGTAGTGCTGTAGGATAAGCACTGAGCTGCTAACCTCAGGGTTGGCAGTTCAAACCTAACTGCTCTCAGAAACCTGATGTTGTTGTTGTTAAGTGCTATTGAGTCAGTTCTGGCTCATAGCGACCCTGTATAGGGTTTCCAAGGAGCGACTGGTGGGTTTGAACTGCTGACCTTTCTGTTAGCACCACCCCAGGACTTCAGAAATCCTATACAGAGTCGCTGTGAGTTAGAACCAACAGAGTTCTTAACAAAAGAATGCTCGAGGCTGCCTTTTTTGTTTTTAATTAGTTAAGCTAAACTGTTGGCAAACTAAAGGTTTACTTATTTTATAAAAACTCTAACTGGGGATAGTGGTATTCTTACTCACAGGAAGAGTTTGTTTTTTAGCCTTACAGACTCAGAAGAACCTAAGGGAGGCCTTGCTCAGGAAGTGTGGTCCTGGTGGTATAGGTGTCCTTGTCGTCTCATTGCTTAGAAGAGTCCACACAGCCCGTGTTGGCCGCACTGCCTGGCATGGCGGGGTTTCCCTGTACTCACCGTTCACCGCACCCCTCATTTCTTGGCAGAGAGCATCGGACTCTCCAGCGACTGGGGCTGCCGCGATCCGAACGCCACCAGCAATCCCACAGCCGACAGTGGACCACTGGGAAACGTACGTGGAGCAATCTGAGGAGGAAGCGGGTGGTCGGTTACCCCTGATGTTCACATTCTCATCAAACAGGAGGAGTGCACATGGGTGGGTGATGCTGCTGGAGGGAGGCAGCCTGCCTGGCAGAGTTGGTGGCTCCTTCTAGAACGTTCTGCAAGAGTGCTGGCCGTGACTCCGCCCAGACCAGCAGTCCCTGAGAGCCAGGGAGTTCCTGGGACCAGTACCAGGGTGGGAGCCCCCCACTGCTTTTCCCAAAGGTAAACCTTTCTCTTGCAGGCAAAGCGGAGAGACTCGCCCGCGGAAGGTGGCCAGAAAGCCAGTGATCCCAGCAGCAAGCAGGTAAAGAAAGACCCTGCTACCAGACAACTCCAGCCTTCCTCCTCATCATCTTGGCTCAAGTCTGCTCCTGGTGGTCGGGTGAAGATCCACTGGGAGTAGAACCGAGCTTTCCTCAGACCTCAAACTATTCAGCCTCCATGTCCTCTGGGTTTTGGTGTTTCCTGGTTCAGTATTTGCAGCACACCCTGCCTCTTACTGTTCGCTCACCAAGGTGGCGTGGGCACTGGTTCTGTGTGGCTTCACCAGCCACATCTTTGCTCAGGGCTCCCTGTCTAGGCCACCTGCACACATTAAAGCTCTTTATATCGGGAGGAGAGTGGCCAGGTGTGGGACTGAGGGCTCAGGTGGGCTCCTGGGTGTAAGGAGGTCGGAGGGGCCAGGAGAGCCTGGGGTGGGGGGGCTAAGGAGTGTGAGGGGTGAGGAAAAGCGGGCTTGGGAAGCAAGGTAATTATCATTCTGCTGCACCCCTAGTGTGGCACAGTGCTGTGACCCCACACTCCCAGACATTGCCTAAGCATGACTGCCCACACTGTCCACGCTAGCTGACCCAGCATCCTGTCAGTTTCCTCAGTTATTTTGAGAAACGTTTTCTCCCCTCTGGACTTAGGAGCTCCCCTTGCGTTTCTTCCCAACTATAAAAAAGCAGCGGAAATTCTGGGCACTTCTGGGGCCTCTGGGGGCCTCTGTTTTGGGGAGGCAGCAGCTCTTCACTCTTCTTGTCGAGGCGCTGGCTCGTTGTCCTCATACCTTGTCTGCGGTGTTTCTTTTTCACTTCCTCAGTCCCTGGTTGTAGGATAAGCCCAGGACTGCTAACCAACTGCAAGGTTGGCGGTTTGAACCCCGCAGCCTCGCCTCACAAACCCTATAATGGGTCATTATGACTCGGAACCCACTCAGCGGCACTTAACAACAAGTGGGCCAAACCTCTCCTTCTCTTCTCAGTTTCCTGACATATGGCAGCATCAATGGACTCAAGTAGTGAGGTGGGCCCAGGATCGGGCAGTGTTTCCTTCTGCTGTGCATAAGGTCGCTATGAGTGGGTACTGACTTGATGGCCCCTAACAACAACAACAACAAAATCCAAGGGTACCTCCCTTTGAATTTTTGTCCCAAGGTAGCTGTAGTAACAAGGAGCTGTGATGTTACAGTGGCTCATTGGCTCTTAATGGAGAAGTCAGCTGTGCAAACCACCAGCTGCTCCCGTGACCAGTAACGGCCTTGGAAACCCTCCACGGCCAGTTCTGCTCTGCCTTGTAGGGTCTCTGTGAGTCGACATTGATTCAGCAACAGGGGGTCAGGGTCTAATATTCCACTGTCTGAATGTGCCACGTTTGTTTCTCCCTCACCCATTGGATGGCTTCCCCCTTTCTGGCTGTAGTCTGTACCCACTTTTGAAAAACCATCCTTTGTGGGAAACTCCTTCGCATCGTCATTAAAGAAACTTCACCGCCCTTCAGTGTATCTGGGGGAGCTGCCTTCCTTCCTACCAGTCCCATGTAGGTTCCAGGAAGCCAGGTCCCCATGTCCTGGTATGAGTCAGCGTGGTGGCCTCACTGTCCTTGCTCACCTGCCACGTCTATGTTTGGACAGAACCACCTCACCGTACTCGCCATGGTCCGCCCGCTCACCTCTGCGGCCCGGTCCGGGGCCTCCTCGCCAACAGTGTTGTCTGCCCTGGATGCCCGAGCCCTCCTGCTGGACCCCATAAGTAACACGGTCGAGTCAGTCCTCGGTGAGTTCCTTTCCCCTCTCCTCTTCGTCTCTGCCGGCATTTTCTGAGCATCTGCGGAGTCATTGCATTTGGAGCTGCTGTTTGTGTGTGGGTTGTTAAGTATTGTTGACGCAGTTCTGACTCATAGTAACCCTGCATGGGGCTTTCGAAGAGCACCTGGTGGGTTTGAACCGCCAGCCTTGGCAGTTGGTTAGCAGTCCAGTCTGTTTGGAACACACTTGGAATGTGTGTCTGGTGGAAAAGACAGATGTGCATTTCCACATGAAATCATGAAATCCTGGGCCCACAGAGCCTGACTTTGGGGACAGTTGAGACAGAAAAATAGGTGGAACCAGAGGGTACCTGAGGGTCAGTGGCAATGTGGGAGGGTGTGAAGGGGAGTGGGGAAGAGGCTGGAAGGTCACACTTGTAGGGGTGGGGTGGGAGCCACTGAGGGTTTGGGGACTGGTGCTGACATGCTTGGAACCAGGCTTGGGGAGAGCAGTCTTGGCCTGGATGGAGAAGTTGGGCACAAAGCAGGCTCCTATGAGGGGCAGGATGTGGAGCTGGATGGAGCTGGCAGGGTCAGGCATTGTGGCAGGGGCTCGGCGAGGGGCTGTAACACATCCTGAAGTCTACAGAGACCAGAGCCACGCTGACCCAAGCCTGTCTGCCCTGACGGAGGGGCAGTTCCGGTGGGTAGTTCTTCTCCAAGTTAGACTTGGTGGCACTGAGAGGTCATTGAGGCTGCTGAGGGTGAGGGCCGGGCAGCAGAAGGGGTATGTCCTTAACCTGGAGCCTGAAGGGGCAAAGTAGGTAGGCCGTGCCCATGACGTCATCTGTGCAGCGATAAATACTAACAGCCTGTGGACCCTTGCAGCATGGTCTCAGCTACCCTTTAGACCTCAAGTCAGGGGACATGAGACCTGACGCAGAAACTTCTGGAGCAGGGAGCAGCCTCTGGAGGCTCCGGGACAGCCCTGTTGTCAGCAGACAGTGACCCCCAGGGCCTTTCTTCCAGAGCAGACTTCTGTGTGCGGGCACCATTTCTGTGGCTTTCAGAGGTTCCTAAAGGTGCCCTGGTGGCGTGGTGGGTTCATTGTTGGCTGCTCACCACCATAAGGTCGGTGGTCGGAACCCAGCAGGCAGGAGCTAGCTCCTCTGGAGAAAGATGAGGCTATCTGCTCCCGTAAAGATTGACAGTCTCGGAGACCGTATCGGGCAGTTCTAGTCTGCCCTGCAGGGCTGCGCTGACTCAGAATCCACTGGACATCACCAATTTCCATTTGGATATGGTTTCAATGCTTTGACATTTGTCAAAGTGTCACTATACAGAACTCTGGGGACCCATGTGTACCCGGGGTACCCTTCATGGTGGACTGACATCTTCTCTGGCAGCTTAAAGCCCTGTGTCCACCTCCTTGTATCCACCTCCTTTATCAGTGCGTGTAGGTATGTATAGGGGTTCTCAGGAGCAGGGACAGACGCAGTCAGAACGTGTCCCAGATAGGGAGTTTTCCACAAAGGATGGTTTTTCCAAAGTGAGTGTGACAAACAAGCACTGTGGTAAGCACAGATCCACACACCTGACTTCCAGAATGACCTCACTGACCTTCAGTGTGGTTACCCCTGCCTGTGTGTGATCCTGACTTCCTGCGTCTGGTCAGTGAGAGGGAAATGACCACAGAAATATTTCCTCTAGGATTTTGCCTTCAAGGGCAGGTTTCTAAAATTCTGCGTACGTTTTCAGCGGTATTGGTGTACGTTTATTGGTATTTTAACCGAAATTAAGATCAGTGAATTTTAATTTCAACGTGAGAGTGAGGGAGGGAGGGCGAAACCCGTTTGTTTCTCTAGGTCTAGCTAATGGACGGAGCTGGTTCTGATTTGAAACTGCCCACCTGTGAGTCTTACAGCTCCAGGTAATAGGCCTTGCCAAGCCCTCACACAAATACACCTGTTCCTTCTGAAATGTGAGAGGGCAGGTGAGCTGCAGGTGAGAGGGAATGGCTTGGAACGCAGCCTTAGCCTTAGCCTGCCCTTGGTAGGGGTGCGTGGCCTTCCCTGGCCCTGGTGGGTATGGTGCGTTTCTGTAGCTGGCCCGGGGATAGGAACGGTCCTTGTTGAGCCCGGGGCCTACGCAGCCTCTGATTCGCCCAGGTCTGAGCCACAGTTCCTTTTTTAAGTTGTCAGACTCCAAGAGTCTGAGCGCCGCTCCCTGACGCAGGGTTTGTCGCAGGGGGCGGGGCCAGGCGTACGAGTCCGTGCCTGGGACGGATCTGAGTGAGCTGTGGGCGGGACTTGACGCTTGGTCGTAGGGGGGCGGGGCCGGAACGCACTGTGTGGTGTCAGGGAGCCTTGCAGGGCGGAGGCGGGTCTCCTTGACGCGACGTCCAGGTTTGGGGCGGGGCCAAACCAGGGGCGCGTGCGTCCTGGGGCGGAGCCGGCAGTGGGGCGGAGCCGAGAGGGTTTGAATCAGCGGCGGCGGCGCGGAGCGGCGGACGGTGAGTCAGCAGCTAGCAGGCCTGCTCTGCGGTCCCAGGTGTGCTGCATGCAAGCGGGCGCGGGAGGACCGCCAGGTGCTGCGCCCTGAGTGGGCTCCAATGTGGTGAGGTCGTCCGGATGCGTTTAGAGGCTGCAGAGCTTGATACACGCCGACCCCCTTAAGTAGCCCGCTCCTTTACGTGCCTTTCCGAGTCTGGGCTTCAGCCTTTGGCTGCACCCTGACCCTGTCCGCGCTCCCCAGCCTTCTCCAGCAGTCTAGCACCGGGCACTCCCCACCCGTCACCGACTTCCAGGACTCCTGACCCCCAGGCCCGCGCTAGAGGGACACTGATGGCTGTTCTCCATCCAGGACCCCTTGGTGGGATGGGCCTCGCTCTTCCGTGGGTTTCTCACCATCGGAATTGGGGGCAGATCCCGGGGGCTTGGGTCTTGAGGCGGCTGTCCCCATTGCCCTGTTCGTGTGTCCCCTGAGCCCGGGGCAGGGACAACTCCTTTCTCACGCTTGCTGGACTGCCAACCTTCAGTTTACATAACCGGTCACCCAGTTCCTGGCTCCAATTGCCCCTGAAGGCAGTCACTGAAGGAGGTTTGACTTAGGAGGGGGCAGTGAGGTTATACAGCCACAGTAGGGGTCCCCACTGGATGCTCTGGGGAGTGGACAATGGGACCTTTCCCAGGGCCTCTTCCTGAGCGTGGCCAATGCAGTCTCTCCTGGGCCCTCAACTCTGCTCCAGGTAACCCTGTGGGTTCCGTGCAGGCTTCCAATTCATGTTGTCTTCAGGCAATTTGGGCCTGAAGGATGCTGTGGCTGGTGGGATCAGGGCTTGTGTCCTGTGCCCTGGGGGCCGATTGGAGGGTTGATGCCCTCAGTGCTGAGTCAGATGGCCCAGGGTGAGAGTAGATGCAGGGCTAGGTGTCCCCGAGCTCCTGGGAGGAGGTTGAGAGGGAACAGGAGGGGGGCAGACTTTAATGGAACGGAACGTCAAGGATACCACGCCCCCCCTCCCCATGGCCAGAGTGGGAATGCCCAGTTTTGGGGGCAGCACCTGGCTCCCCCTGAGCATCTGTGGTGCTGAGAACAGTAGTATAGCCTTGCTTGGTACCCCGGGCTGGGGAATGTGGAGGGGAGCATCCCAGGAGCACAGGGAGTCTGTGCCGCCGCTGCTGCTCTGGAGCGGGTGCTGCGGGTCTGAGGCCCTTCTAGTCAAAGGCTTCTTTTGGGGAAGGTCCTGTTCACAGCCAGGTGAAGTCAGTGGCCACCAGCCCCATCATTCTGACAAATGTTGAGAAAGTTAAAGATACCAGAATCCCAGAACGGATAGGTCAAGGTGGAGACAACCTGTCGGTATTGCCATGGTGCGCCCCCCCCCCCAGTGGGTATCTGGGGGAAGACAACCTCCTAGGAGGCCAACAGCCCTGGCAGGACAACATGCATGGGCCTCCCTGCTGGCCTGAGGGTGATGGCTGTTTTGTTTGACAGGTTCGGCTTTAGATCTCCATTTTAGTGACATAAATATCGCATCTCTAGACAAAGACCTGGAAGACCAGAACAGCGAACCTGGGCTAGCAAGTAAGACTCTGATGTCATTGTCTCTTTCCCATGGGGCACTGAAGGCACGGTCTCTGTCTTCAGTCCCCTAGCCCTTAGTCTCGACCTTGTTGGCCTGTGTGACCAGTTAGCTGACATCCTGTCCCCTCCCTGGTTTTAGTGTGAGTCAGAAGATCTGTCTTGTTGAACAGCCCATCCCTGTTTCACGACAGCATCTTATAAAGATGAGCACACACTGAGTCAGCTCCTAGCAGCAACAGGGCAGAGCAGAAGGATCCACAGGCCTCCCCAGGTTGGAAGCCTTTGTGGAAGCAAACTTTCTCACCTGCTCCCACGGAGTGGCTGGTGGGTTTGAACTGCTGACGTTTCTGTTAGTGCCCCCAGCCTTCAACTTCTTTCATACTCTGATTTTAAAAGAACCCTGAAAACCGAAATCCAAACACACGGTCACCATCTCAGTGCTGATTCAGTGACCCTCTTTCACGTCTCTGAGGTGGTAAAGCTTTCTGGGAGCAGAAAGCCACCTTTTTCTCCTGCATAGTGTCTGGCGGATTTGAACTACTGACCTTGTGGTTAGCAGCCCTGCCTGTAACCCACTAGCCACGTGGCTGGTTTGGGGGGGTGTGGTGGCAGTGTGTGGGGACTACGCCTGTCTCACTGATAGCCCCTCCCCTTCAGGTCACGGGCTGCTCGGGGACTCAGCACCAGTCGCCATCCCAGGCCCCCTGACGCGTTCGTCATCCCTGCTCTCATCCTCATCACTGTCCACCTCCCCGCTCAGCTCGCTCTCCCAGTCTCTGTCGGGGCCTCTGGTCTCTTCGGCCATGACGCCCCCCCAGCAGCCCCCACCAACCCCGAAGTCAGAGCCTGGAGGCCTGGGTTCCTCAGCTTCCACCAGCTCCTTAGGTGAGCCAGTTAGTGGGGGCAGGGGGCAGGGGGTGGAAGGAGGTGCGCACATCATGGTGTTTGATGGTTGAGTAAACTGAGGCATAGAGAGATCACCTGAGCACCATCAGGGGTGGGCCTCCACAGTGAGCCTCCCCCTTCCTCACAGCGTGTGCCCCATTAAGACCAGCTGGGCACCGCTGCAGGTTCAGGGTAGTTAAGTAAATGATTTAACCATCCGTTTGTGTTTGTGTGTGGCTGCCTCTCCCACCAGCAGCTCCCAGACGACTTGGGGCTGGGGGTGGGTGACGCATAGATGCCAGACTGCCCTGTGTTCTTTTGAGGTTCTTTCTCGGGTTATATCAGAGAATAGTATCTTTTCACATTTATTGTTTAAAACGGTTCATTTGTAAAAACGTCTCCTCTAACGTTTGATGCTGTGGGTAGATGTGGGTAAGGCTCTTTGAGGTACTGGGACCCAGGGGGGGTCCCAAGACTATGGCGATTCCTGACCTAATAAGACCTTGAGGTGCTGAGCCCATCTCCTGTCACCCTACAGGTTTAAACGGCGTCCCCGGGAGCATCTGGGACTTTGTTTCCGGCAGCTTCTCCCCCAGCCCCTCCCCGATCCTGAGCGTCGGGCCTGCGGCCACCTCCACCGGAAGCCCAGGCGCTGCAGAGCTAGTGCGCGTGCGTCGGCAGCTGGACGAGGCTAAGCGCAGAATCCGGCAGTGGGAGGAGTCCTGGCAGCAGGTGAAGCAGGTGAGTGGGGGCGTAGTGAGGATTTGGGGGGCGGGCGCAATACTCACGCTCTACCCCAGAGTTCCGTCTCCCCTGCGCCCACAGGCCTGTGACGCCTGGCAGCGCGAGGCCCGCGAGGCCCAGGAGCGCGCTAGGGCTGCGGATAGTGACAGGCAGGCGGCGCTACAGCGCAAGGAGGAGGCAGAGGCACGCTGCCGGCAACTGCGAGAGGAGCTGGAGGGCCTAGGGCTGGCGGCTGCGCTCCCTGCGCTGCGGAGCTGTGGGGACCTGGACACCACGCCATTGCCTACGCTGCATTCCCTGCAGAGCCGCCTCCGCCTGGGCCTGGAGGCGGTGGATGGGGTGAGTCAGGGACGGAATGATGTCAGTCAGTCACCTATTGGGGAATGGCACAAACCTGCAGTGAGCAGATTGCTCCCTAGCCCCATTGGCAGCGTATGGGGGTGTGTGTGCCGCTTTCCAGACCCCCACATGGTGCGTCCTCTTCCCCTCACTGGCTCTGGGTACCAAGGCAGGCCCTGAAGCATGCATACCGCGATGGCCAGAGATTAGACGGCTCGGGAAGTGCTGCCAACCCCTACCCCACCCACCCTCTTGCCTGCTGACTTGGCCTCACCTACCAGCCACTGCACGCCCTTAGCCACCCCACCCTACCCCACCCACCCTCTTGCCTGCTGACTTGGCCTCACCTACCAGCCACTGCACGCCCTTAGCCCTGTCTGGGTAGCTGCTGGGGCTTTGAGGCCACCTTGCCAACAGCACCTCACTCTGCAGGTCATCGTCCAGCTGCAGGCAAAGCAGTGCCTGGCATGTCGGGAGCAGGCCCGCAACGGCGTCTCGCAGCCCTGCCCACACCGCGTTCTCTGTGAGCCATGTGCTGCCAGCGCACCTCCCTGCCCCTACTGCAATGGGCAGCCAGTGCCATGGTGACTGCAGCCTGCGGGGCATGCCCCATCTCCGGGAGACCAAGGACATCAGACTGGGACCGTGAGCATGCCGACCCTGGACGTGGTACCCCTGCCTATCACATCAATGGTTTTCATGGTGGTTCCCCCAAAGCCACTAGATGTTCCAGCAGTTGGGCTCTGTCTGAGGTCTGAAGCGCCTTCTTGTGGCTGCCACTGCACACGTGGGGTGTCGGCAAGCGTTTGTGTTTGACACGTGGTTGGCTGGATGCGTAGGAATCCGATTCTCATAAAAGCACTTTGTAAACCCAGGAGTTTAGCTAGATGTTAAAAATTGCTATAAGCTGCTTTCTAGGTTTATGGTTTGTTTTTTAATATGCCATAATAATGAAGCTTTCTCTGTGTACTGTGAACTTAGAAATATTTCATATCAGTTTACTGTTAATTCATAGCCTGGTGGATATATTGAATTTCATACTCAGATTAGTATTTATCAAATGGGCATCTGTCTTGTAGTCAGAAGTGCTAGGGCTTGTAGTTTTCAAATCAAGTGCAGATTGAATGTACATGCAGAGGGTGATTCTTGGAGGACATGTGTATGTTTAGCTGTGTGCTGGATTTTATGGAAGGACTTATTCCTGAGCTTGCAGCAGGTGGTGTTTGTGCCCAGCATGTGACATGGCCTTGTGACAGCTGTTTAATGCAATTACGTGAGCTGTGGCCCTTTTCTCCAAGAGCACGTGCCTTGCACAAGACTTCAGCCGTTGGCTGTGTGCTCTTCCTTGAGGATCAAGGCCGTTGGATCCTAACAGGACACTTGGAGCCAGAGGGACCCTGTGCTTGTGGTTTAGGTTGGGAAGCAGATGAGTCTGGTTGTGAGCTGCTCGACCCGTCACTGGGGCTTTGCAGCTGTGTGGAGAGGCCCCTGGAATGAGGGCGTGTGGCCCCGTGCTTCTAGAGCAGAGAAGGGACCTGGCCCGCTGAGGCTTTGGAGCTGAGCCAGGGAGGGGGATTTCGGCCTTCTCCAGTCCCTAGAGATCTGGAAGAAGCGCAAGCTGTTTCCTGGGTTGTCTTCAACTCTCAGAGTCTGCCCAGAGTGGCGGATGCAGGTGCATGCCCCCGGGGCCGGGAGTAATGGCGGTACATCTCTGTCCGCCTCCGGCTTTGCCAAAGACTTTTAATAGCATTTTTTAATGTGCAGAGTAACTAGAAAAGAATTTTTATCAGTGACCAAATTAGAATGTATTTAATATAGGAAGAAGTCTAAAAAATCTTTTCTAATATGAACCTTGCAGATTGTCGAGGCCAGGACCTTCTGGGGCCAGCTGCCCGCAGCAGAAGACTTGGTTTCCACTTGCTTTGCACAGTAGTGAATGATGGCTTAGCTCAGTACGTAGAAATGATGCCTGCTTTGTGCCATTGTTACCACGGTTTAAAATCCTTTATTTTTATGGATATTTATGCACTTGTTGCTCATTTTAGACCTGGGGTCTTTTCTGGGATAACAGGATAGTGTTTAGTATTTCTAGCTAGACATTTTCAAATTCTACAACAGTGAAGCAAGTAAGCTGTAGGTCTGTATAAGCTACTCTCTTGTCTAGTCAGTTCCATCTGGGAGTTGGCCTTCGTTCAGGGCTGAGGCTCAAGGGCTGACTTTCTAATGAGGTGGGTGTCTCTATTGTGTCTGGGGGCGGGTGGGGGGAAGTTCTGTGAGGGAGACAGAGCCTGCCCAGATGGGTCCTCCAGGGCGCACCGTTAGGGACAGCAATGTTGTTCTTGTGGGCAGGGCTTCTGAGCATGGCAGCTAGGAAGGTGTTGGCACTTGCCCTGTGGGGTCACCTCCCCCACAACCCTAAGGCTCAGCAGGGGTGGGGGGCAGGAGATCCCCGGTTGCCCATGACGAGCTGTGTTAATTATGGAGGCTCCCCACCCAATGTGTATGAGTATTTACATGTTATTTTATTTGAACGCACTCTACGTAACCTGGACGGTAGTATTTATAATGCAGAGTCATCTACTCCCAGTGAGTTGTTTAAAATTGTTAACCTGGTTTAGGTTTTTTACATGATAATATTTCTGTGACAGTTTTCAAAAGCCCGGAGTTTTTTTTATCATTTTGGGATTCATTAAAACCTTGGGCTCTCTGTCCTGTGCAGTCCCTGGGAATGGTGGCAGAGACGGCGTGGGCCTTGGCTGTAGTGTTTGTCCTTGTGTGGTCTGCCCCACGTGGCCCCCTTGGCCTTGTCACAGTGTGTTCCTGTGCAGGTCCAGATCACCACGCAGCTGCGGGGGGGTCCCTGCGGAAGTACCGGCCTGAGGTCGCGGAGCAGCCCCAGCAGCAGGTAGGACGTGCAGGGAGGCCCCTGCCCCCTGGGTGAGGCCACGCTGAGCCAGCAGCCCCTGGAGCCTGGTCACCTCCTTGGCCAGCTCTCTATGTGCCTAGGGAGCAGCGGGAAGTCAGTGCCTCCTGAAGGAGGGCTGCATGTCTACTCTCACCCCCAGGGAAGGCCCAGAGCCCCCTACCTGACTGCAGCTCTCCAGGGTCTCGAACACAGGACCCCGTGAAACCCCTTCCTGCCGAGTGGGGTCACTGTCCTCTGGGGCCCTCAAGTAGCCAGCCTCCTCAAAGAGTGTCTGCAGCCGCTTCACGTGGCCCTGGGGGTGGGATGATGGGGGTGGGTGGGAGCGCCAGGTTGAGGGGTCCTGCAGGGGGTGCCTGCCCCTACCCTACTCACCTGGGCCGTGATGAGTTCATCTGCCAGGTCCTGCTCTACCTGATCCCACCGTTGTTGTAGGGCCACAGGCAGGACCGGGTACACTGTGGGCGGGCGGCCAAGAGGTAGGTGAGGCTCAGTGGGGCTCCCATGGCCCACACAGGGTCCCCCCCAGCCCCAGTTCCCACCTAGCATGGCATGGGGGTGGCAGACGAGCGGAGTCTCAAACGTCAGTGAGTATACGCAGGTGCTGGGCTCCGACACCTGGGCCAGTCTGTTGCTCTTCCCACAAGTGAGCTCCACCTGGGGGCGGAGATGTGGACCGCCGGCAGCTGGAGTCCCAGCAGCCCCCTGGTCCCATGCCAAGAGGCCTCACCTTGGTCTGCCGGCTCCGGGGGCCGCACGAGTCTCCATCACGCATCCACATGCCCGTAAAGGTGGAATTGACTATCTCCCACTCGTGCCAGATGCTGGAGTGGAGGGAGGGATTCAGGTTTGGCCCCAACAACCGAGGGGCCCACCCAGGTTGGGGGGTGGCATGTGGACTAAAGGCCTCACCCCAGGATCCCACTGTAGGCGTTCCAACGGAAGGTCTGCTCATGCTGGGTAACATTGTGGAAGGGACAGAACTCGTACTTGTACCTGGGGGTGCACAGAATTGTCAGCGGGGTCCCCAGGGCCACTCACGCCACCCACCCCACACTCACGTGGACTCCACGAGGCTGAAGCATGTGCCAGAGAGTCTGAGCAGGTGGCTGGGCCCTGTGGGGAGAGGACACTGTGAGGCTGATGGGCACTGAGACCCTTGGCAAAGGCCTGGGCCATCCCCCGAGGTGGAAGGTGGCTTCTGTGCCCAGCCCAGTGAACCCGCCTCTGCACCAGTACATGCGATTGAGACGGAGACTGGATGCAGAGCAGCCCAGCCGGGGCACCCCCGGGGGCGGGATGGATCACAGATTCTCATTGGGGCTGCTGCTCTCCTCACGCACTGGACTGGGTCCCCCATTCTTTCGAGGACACTCCTTTCTCTCTGTCCCCTCCTGAAAGGCCCCCTGTCCCCATTCTCTAGCTTTCCACTGGCTGGTGTGGCCACCTCTCACACCTGGATCCATGCCCTTCTCTCTGTCTCCCCCACCCCCATGGCCATCTAAGAAATCAGTTCCTGCCCTGGGCGTGGCCACCTGGATGAGGCCTGGAGATGCAGACACCGCCGAACACACGTTCTCTCCAACCACACAATGCAGTCCTACTGCCATCAAGTCATTCCAACTCGTGGCCACCGCGCACCCCACAGCAGATGCAGGCTGTACGACGTAAGGAAGGAGAATGCAAGGCCTTTTTTTCCGTGAAGCTACTTGGGTGGATGTGAACTGCCAACCTTCAGATTGTAAGTGAATGTTAAAAGTGCACAAACACGTAGAAACGAAATAACATGCTCTTAGACAACCAAGGAGTCTCAGGAAATCAGAAAGTACTGAGCGAAACTTAAAGGTCATACAAGCTTAGGCCATGCAGCCAGGCCTCTAGGGTGACCAGAATCCCAGGGAGAGCGGCACTCCTTAGACCAGGCCACCATAGACTGAAGACCAAAGCGTAGCATGTGGCCAGGGAGCATGCCCAGAAGGCAGGAAGAAGGGACACCAGGAAGACAGGACAAATGGTAGGATTGCATGAGTCTAAACGGCATGGATTAGATTACTAAATGGAAAACCGTTCTGCTGTGTACACTTCCCCCAATTCGTCATAAGAAGAAAGACAAAAAGGATGCCAGAAAAGCAGTGCTCAGAGGGAAATTTACAGCTGCAACTACCGCCATTAAAGCAGGAGAATGACCAGAAGTCCGCAATCGACTGTACAATGTGAGGAACTCAACAGAGAACAAGCCAGACGAGATCAGGGCGGAGATAGATGAAACTACAGAAGTAGACTCAATGAAATTAGAAGTTGATTTCTGTAAAGATCAGTAATCCCAGCAAGCCTTTAATTAGACTAATAAACAAAGAGAAAAGATGCAAATATCTAAAATGAAAAGCCAAACTGGGGACATCCCAGAAACGTAAAAGGTCCGCGAGAGAGCAGACTGTGATCCGCGGTGCACAGCACCACTCAGCTCATCTACATCACACAGACAGGTTTCTAGACACAAGCTTTCTACATTGGCTCCGGAAGAACCAGAAGATGGCAACAACTCCCCCCACACACACACACACCAAGTGCCACCTCCCATGGCCACAAGGTTTAGACCGGAAGAGATGGCCTCCGCGCCTCCTAAAAAAGCAGAGAGAGCATTTCCTACCTCATTCTATTAGAGTAATAACCCAAACCAACCCCACTGCCCGTTAAGTGGATTCCAACTCACCGAGCCTCACAGCAATAGGGCTTCTGAGGTTGTAAGTCTTTGTGGGAGCAGACCGCCTCCCCATCTTTCTCCTGCAGATCTGCTAGTGAGTTTCAGCTGCTGACCCTATGATGAGCAACCCACAGCATCGCCAGGGCTCCATATGCTATGAGACTGCTATTACTCTGATGCCAAAACCGGACAAAGTCGACACAGGGTAACTACACACCCATAACAAGACACGAGGCAGCTGCTTTTAAGAAAAAGCTTATGGGAAAGGAAAGTGCAATGAAAGGTAAGGGAATTTTCCCCACACACTTTTCGATATCCCCTTGTACTATAGCTGTAGACCTGTGAACGCATGCGTCACCAGGTGGGATTGCAGGAGGGTCCCACATGAGAAACTCAGTGTAATTTACCACATTGGTAGTGATCAGACAGACACTAGGAACAGAGGAGAAACAGAATACAAACAGTGTGCCTTCCTCCAGAACAAGGAACAGAAGGGCAGGAAGAAGTAAAACTATTCTGTAGGTGACATGATCTTCTCTAGAGAAGACCCCAGAGAATCCATGTGAAAGCAACCAGATCTAATGATACAAGGTAACCCCCCAAAAATAAGGTGTTTATGTACATTACATTATATATCAGAAACGATCATTATGAAAAGGAAGTCAGGGAGACAGTTTCATTTACAGTAATAGTGTAGTGGTTATGGATTGGGCTGCGAACCTTAAGGTCAGCAGTTCGAAACTACCAGCTGCCCTGCACGAGAAAGATGAGGCTTTCTGCTCCCGTAAAGATTTTACAGCCTCTGAAACCCTGTACAGGGTCACTATGGGTCAGAACCAACTCGACGGCACTTAACAACTAGTATAAGATACCGAGAAATAAATTTAACTAGAACATCATTTTAAAACAGAGACACACTAAAAGCTGCAAGACCTCACTGAAAGAAATGAAAACAGAATCTAAAGGAGCTCTGGTTGCATAGCGGTTATGAATCGGGCTGCAAGCCCCAAGGTCAGCAGTTCGAAACTATCAGCTGTTCCATGGGAGAAAGATGAGGCTTTCTGCTCCCGTAAAAGATTTACAGCCTCGGAAACCCTGTTCAGGGTCTCTTGAGTCGGAACCAACTCCATGGCACACCAATTAACCAAATAAATGGATGGCCATTCCATGTCCAGAGGTCAAAACACTGTCTCAGTAACAACAACCGATCCATAGGTTTAAGGCAGCATCCACCGACATTCAAATAGCTTTCTCTGCAGAAATGGAAAATCAATTACCAATCCTCATAATATGGAACCAAAGTAATTTTGAAAAAGAAGATTTACACTACTGATCTCAAACATATTAACTACAAAGCTCCAACAAACAGAACAGTATGACCAGTGGAATCTGACTGAGTCCAGAAAGAAACCCACACTTCTAAGGTCAAAACGAGTCCACTTACTGCAAAGGGCAGTGGTTCAAACCCATCAGCAACTCCTTGGAAACCCTATACGGGATCGCTGTGAGTCAGAACCCACTTGATGCCTCTTAACAACAAAGGTTAAGTGATTGTTTGCTCAGAGTGCTAAGACTCTCCAGCTGGAGAACAAGCTTTTAATGCTGCAGGTTGTGGTTGTGTAAGGCGACCTGGCTACCAGTCAGGAGGAAACTCAGATGCCTGGAAACAAGGAGTCCAGGTGGTCAATGGGTCAGGTGGACAGCAGTGTCCACGGCCCTAAGACCACAGAACGCAAGGGTGCCCCATTGCTGCTATTGCAGGATGGCGTGGGAGGAAATGGGGAACAAAACCCCAAATCATAAACAAGGCCCAAGTTTACTGGCCACCCTCAGGTCTGGAACTGAACTCTCTCTTGAGGCTCGTCTCTCAGCCAGGCGTAGGTATGTAGGGACAACCTGAGGAGAAACGCACCCACCGGATCACTCAGGATCAGACAGGCAGCATTTACCCAAGAACTCCATTCCAAAGGGTGGGCGTGGAGGAGGGCTGGGGGCTGTGATTTGTTGAAGGCAAAACTGATGATCTGTGCTGTCAGCCTTCACCGAATCCACAGTCAAACACTGAATAACTCACTCACGTTGGCAACAGAAGTTCCACAAACAAAATCTCAGCCTGGACGCAGACCTCAGTTTGCCGATAAACAGAAATACGAATCAGCAATCCACAAGGTCAGCAGTTCAAAACCACCAGCTGTTCCGCAGGAGAAAGATGAGGCTATCTACTCCCGTAAAGATTTACAGCCTCGGAAACCCTGTACAGGGTCGCTATGGGTCGGAACCGACTCGACGGCACTTAACAACATATATAAAACTTAAAGCCATAAAATTTTAGCAGAAAACTTTTAGGTAATGCCTTTGAGGCCTAGCTTTGAACAAAAAGGCTTTTAGATATGATACTGTGAGCAGAACAGAAAAGACAAAATCCGTAAAAAGGCCATCATCAAAATCAAACACTTGTGGCCAACAACAAGAGAGAGACAACCTAGAGGTGGGCAGCTGCACTGGAGACGGTCTAACAGCCAGCTCCCAGAAAGGAAGGGCTCCATGCTTGAGTTAGAATTGACTCAAGCATAAAGAATTCTTGCAAAACAGCCTAATCCCAAAACAGCCTAAGGACTTGAAATACAATCAGCCAACAAGCACACCAAAAGATGCTCAGACTCATCGTTAAAGTGCCATCGAGTCAATTCTGACCCACAGCAACCGTCTAGGGTTTCCAAGGAGCAAATGGTGAGCTTGAACCACCGACCTTGTAGTTCAAACGGCTTTGCAGGACTCCTACAGAAAACTAAACGAAGCGGACCCAGCTGGTAGTCCTGGACGTTCACTGAGCTTCAGCTGAAGGGGCAGAAGGGTGGACTGGACGCTTATTAGGGAGGAAAGCAACAGCCAATGGAGACGACTCCCCGGTGCCCAGCGCCTCCACAGCCTGACCTTTTGAAGCAGCTTTCTGCACAGGACAGTGGCTTGTGGGTGCAGACATCTACAGAGATAAAAGGGGCAATTTCTTGTTCCTACACTCCTCCCCTGGTGACCAGAGAGGCGTGGCCAGCCCCCACCCATGTACATCATCATCAAAATGTCCACTCTTCCTGCGATTGAGCTGGGAGCCCCACCAAAGGGAGTCAGGTGAGGCCTGCTCCAAACCTGCAAAGCCAGCTATGGCCAGCTCTTGATTAGCATCAACTCTTGCCCCCAGTTGCCCTCTGGGGCAGAAAGACCTTGAGCCCAGCCTCTTTAGGGTCTGCACAAACTATGGGATCGGAGCAGAGAACACCTAGGCCTCTAGAAACTCTGGCGGGTGGGGCCCCAGAGTTTCTCTTTCCACTGGGGGATCGATCTACCCTGGTTGTTTATTTGTTTATTCTTTCTTCTCTGTTTTTCTCCTTCTTTTGTTGATTTCTCTTTACTG